CCCCCCTCCGCCCGCTGCAAAGATGGAGCCTTGTCCTGAGGTACCCCTCGCAAGGGTACAATGGGGAGAGGGGCTGCTGGGGCTTGCTCCCTTCCTTTCTTTCCTGGGCAAGACTGAGGAGCAGGCGAGGCTGCGTGATAAAGCTCAAGAAAGGCACGTGAGAGAGGTCTTATTCGGAGAGGCCCAAATTTCTCTTAAATACCAGATGCGGCAAGGCTGAAAGTGCACAGCACTGTTTGCCATTTTGCAGGCGCCGATCTCTAGCTTAGCACAGTTGTTCACAAATACTGGAGTTAGTTGAATACGTGGGAATTACCTTTTTTTTTTAATGTCTACTCAAATAGATCTTGGTCAGTGTTAATCACCTAGCATACACACCTCTGACAGAACTGCCTGGAGGACATGCATGTTTCCAAGGGCCAGAGAAAGCAAGCTTGAGGTTTGTCTTCCTTCTCAGAGCACAAGTGTGCCAAGACTAATTTTTGGGAACGGGAAATGAAAGTTCATGCTAAAAATACTATGTTTAAGGCTGGGAAACGCAAGGAGAAAAAAGCATCCCAACAAAGATCCCAGTGTGAAGCAGTTTCCAAGAGCGGGAGTTATGCTGCAGATGCTCTCCCTGACTAGATAGAGCAAAAGCTGCTTTTAAAAGATGCTATGTTTGGCTAATAGGTGGCATCTCCTTTAATGCTTTTCTCTGTACTGAGAATAAGCAGCAGCTACTTGCATGCTGGAAAACCTTGTGATCCTGGCAGTCGATTCCATGGAAGCAGGACAGTGCTGCTCCTTTCTACATAAGATCCCGGTAAGTGGACAGAGGCGCAGAGGAAGGCAGCACTCGAGGCAGCAACGGTTGGGCCTGCATTGTTGCCACCTTCCTCTGCGGGCACGGCTGCCAGCACAGTGTGTGCCAAGGGATTTGGCTGGTGGTTACTGCGGCTGGAGCTGAAGCCCCTCAGTGTGTCCTGGCCAGCAGACTGGCATATGCAGTGCCCTTCCACTTGGGGATGGCACGCTTGACGCCTACAGTAGCAGATGTAGCTGCTGTTCCAGAGATGCAGGAACTACGTGACAGCATATTTTGGGGTGCTTCAGATCTTTGTGTTCCAAGTAATCAATGGTTTAGCCATTTTGCTACCCAGGGTGCTTGAGGCGGGAACGTGCAGGCACAGGGAGAAGAGAAATCGGTGCCGCCATGCCTTGGCCAAGCTCTACGGGGCTGAACCGCCCATGGCTGTAAAGCACAAAGTGTTGAGAAAGTCCCAGAAGATCCCACACCGTGCATCATGCACTCAAGGGAGGACTCAGAGCTTCTCACAAGAGGCTACCAAGAGTGCCCAACAGAAGCAAAAGAAAAAATGCAATGTTGTCAGGAAGAGGTAATAAATACATCTATTCATGGAGAACAATGCAGCAGTGCAATGTTTTATTGAAAAAAAAAAAAAAAATAATCATCTCACTTGATACCTCAGAAGACTGCATCGCAACGCTGGTGGGCCACACCGTGGGAGAGCCACACTGGGGAGGCCAGCACAGCGCCGGGTGCCCCCCGCCGCACGGGCCCAAGAGCCCTCCCCTCGCACCCTTTGGGGTCTCCCAGCTGCTAACGACTTCTAGCGAGGAGAGGAGAGTTTGCCCAGGTAGGCTTAATGCCCTTCTTCCTACCACAGCATGGTTGGCTCAGTCTGGCTTGTCTCCTAGTCACCTCTGAGCTCCCTGGGGACAGCGGTTTCCTCAAGCACAGCACTTGCTGTTAACCTGCTTTATTTTCCTTTTCTTTTTTTAAAAAAGCCACCCCACATCTTTGCCCTTTTGAAGAGTCCAACGTACGATTATAGTGCAAGAGGGCTTGGTACAAGTGAGCATTACCAGCATGCCGTGGGGGGACAGTCCTCCCCTACAAACACATCATCGTAGGATTAAAAGAACATCGTATCTCCAGAGAGAAGCGGTAGTGGGTCACCATGAAATAGCTTTCAAACCAACCCACTTAAAAACAAGGTCAGGAAAGTTTCTAAACAATCAAATACATTCACTTTAAAAAAAAAACAAAACAAAAAAACATTTAAGAACAAAAACTCTTGAGATGGCCCCTTTTCCCCCCGCCCTCCCTCACCCTGCAAACACTTACATATGCTGCAACTACAAGCTGCTCCTTGACCGGAGGCAGCGAGGAATGACCAAACACGGCAGGAGATGCAGAAGGAACTGAGTTCTGGTGACAGGCACTTAGTGGGGCTTGGGAGGGCAGCAACAGAAGTGTCTCAGGGCCCGGCTCCATCTGCAGCGGGCAGGACCGCTCCACAGGGAGCGCCTGTGCCCCTTTCCCCCCCTCCCAAGACGCCAAACCATGGTTTCCTACAGCAGAGAGGTGAACGCCTGTGCCGGAGACACCGGGCTTCTGGGAGCCACAGGCAGCAGAGGAGTTCAAAAAGAGAAGGGTGGAATGTGGCCATGGTCCCTGTCCTCCCTCTGGCAGGAGGGGACAAGAGGGCAAAGCGCCCTGGGACATGCCTGCAGGAAGTAAGCGGTCCCCTTCCTGCCCCAGCCCATGGTATGGCTCGAGGAAAGCGCTTTGCAGAACGAGAAGGTGGGTGCACACATCTCCTGGTGGGCGTGCAAGCGAAGAGCTCTGCACCTCAGCCGTGCTCATTGGGATAAGGCGTGGAGAGAACGCAACGGAGAATGGCGAAGAGATGCCCTACGGGGATCCCGGCAAGGAAGCAAGGCTTTTGTGCCCTGGCACCACACCAGCATCTGCCTGCTTTAGGGATGCATGAAGAGCAAGCCCAGAAGCTCCCTGTCCAGGATGATCTCCTGCCCTCTAAGCCCGCTTCTGCCCAGCCAGGGGAACCGAACCTCCTGGGAGTGCCACTCCATGAACTCCAAGCTATGCAGATCATCATTAAAAAAAATAAAAGATAATGAGATCTAGTCTCTCCCTTTCCTCCCTTCGTGCTCTCCAGGATTTTGGGGGTGAGCCAAGCCCGAGTTTATGACAAGCAAAGTCCCTCAAGTGAACAGTCCCAGCCTGGTCAAGGTGTCACACGTGGAAAGACAAAGTATAAGGAACCTATTCACAACCTCCCCAAAAGCTGCTCCAGTTCTCCAACAGCCCTGCCACGCCTACGGTAACCCCCAGGCAGCCTCGGCCTCCTCCGAGTTTGGAGACACTGCAGCTGGACACAAGATTTTTTTTTTTTTTTTTTTTTTACATGTGTGCAAAGCACCCCAAGCCCTTTGCTAGCTATTGGTTTGGCTCAAAAGCGGTGCATGAGAACTGTGGCTTCTGTGGGGTGGGATGGTGCCCCACGTGCCCCAGACCCACGCTTGCAGAGAGGATGTGAAGGCTATTCCAGTCAAACCTATCTGACCATCTGGAGATGAAATCAGTGTTAAGGCAGCGAAGTATCCTCTTACCTGCTGGGGAAGCTTTGCTCCTGCTAATATTTTCTCACAGAGGGTACATGTTCACAACCACCCTGCCGGAGGGATTTGAGAAGGCTGCCCAGTTGCCCACACCGAGAAACGCCTACGCTTTGGGAAACAGCTGCCTCCCATTTACCTTAATCCAGGTCCTACCTCTTAAGCCAGTGCAAACTCCTCCAGCTCAGCAAAGCTGATGCTGCTCCCTCCTGCCAACACCAGGCTACAGCCCTGCGTCTCCCAGCCAGTTGGGTCAGGCACGGTGTAGGAAACCATGGTAGGGACATTCACTGGCAGCTAGAAAGGGTGATTGAAAATTCAAGTATGCTTTCCTCAGCGCATGGCCCAAGGCGGGCGTCGGGAACCCCAGACTGGCACGAGGGTTGTGCGGATGTTGTCAACATCCCCACTCGAGAGCATTCTTTGCATCCCACCATCTTCCCAGCTGAATGTCTGTCTGCGCTGGCACCGCGTGGCCATGCAGAGATCCACAGATACAATGTGCATCTGTAAATGCTAAAAATAATAAAAAGTGCAACGACGTCAGCTTCTTTAAAACAATCCACATTGCTCTGTTACCGTCAGAGGAGGGAGGTGTCAAGGGAGCCGGAAAAAAAGCCTAACTGGAACAGTAGATTGCAAATTTCTCACAGCTTGCACATTACAGTGTAACTGTTCCCAAGGAGCCAAAAAGGGAACTGGTCTCTTACTGCTGCAGCAGTCAGGCCCTTCTCCCACACAACTCTCCTGCCTGCACTGCATCCTCCTGCCCTCTCGACAGCCAATCGAGCCTACGGTATTTCTTCACGTAATTAAGGAGGGAGGAGGACGGAGGAGCAGAGAGCGCAGGGGAGGGAGGGGAGGAAAGTGAGCAGGAACTAAGCACAGTCCTCAGGTTTGTGTGAACGATGCCTTCGCCGTAAACAACGGGAAGGAGGGTCAGCCAGCCAGCCCCCCTCCCAGGGCGACCAAGACCTGAGCCAGCCACAGTCCTGGTCCCAAAAGGAGCTTCAGGCTTGGAGTGAACGAGGGAGACCATTCAGCAGATCCACCTCAGAGTGGTTTGTTTTGGAACGTTTTCTTCTCTTTTTGGTTTAAAATGTCACTTTTTTTTTTTTTCTCTCTTCCTCCTATGCCTCCTCCTCCCCCCTAAAGAGAAGCCCCTTCCAGTGAGACAGGGCAGGAGCTGCAGGCGTGGTGGTTCCTGCAAGGCCCAGGAGGCACCGGTCACTTGTGACGCTGAGCCGTCTTCTTCCGTTTCCTCTTAAAGAAGCAGCAGCACCTGGGGCACAAAGGACAAGGCGAGTTAGCCCCGCGCCCAGCACCCCAAGAAGGTTCACCACCACCCCGGGCTTCCCTCTGCTCAGCTGCATGCAACAGCACCTCCGTGCGCCTGGCCCAAGGCCCAGACAGACCTGCTGTCCTGCGGGACAGTCAGCAAGGTCAGCAGATGCTGGTGGATGGTTGACACCACCAGCCCAGACTGGTAGACCAGCAAAGGCAAGTTAGCCACACCGTGTGGGGTCCCACTGCCCAAAGGCTGTGGGTGACAGTGGGCTGCAGCCCCTGAGCGCTGGGCTGTCTCCCTCCCAAGGCTCGACTGGGGCAGGAACAAAAGGAGCCATCTGGGAAAGGAAGTAAACCAAGGATCCAGATGCTCCACTCCCTCTGTCCGAATCCTGGAGGAAGTGGACTGGGACTGTGAGCCCTGGCTGCTCTTCCCAGCTACAAGACACATGGTTTTCACTACCGTTCACTAAAAAGACAAGTTCCAAAGAGATCTCGGCTCAGGGACCAGGTTTCTTTACTGAACCTTTCATGATAACCAGAGCTTCCACCTTGGATAAATCATTCAGTGCCGGTATGCAGAACCCCTGCTTCTTCCCCCATCCGATGCGAGGGAGGTGCACAGCACCCGGGGATTAGGGGAAGCAAGAAGGATGGATAGTGGAGGCTGAGGTGGGGAGAAAAACGCCCATCCCAGCTGAACCGTGAAGAGTGGTGGTTTCACTTGTGGGATACACTGAAAGCAGTCGCCCAGGTTTTCTGGTCCTGCTGGCTTCCTACAGAATTACTTGGCATTTAAGGCATATCTACCTTTCTATCCTCAGCCCACTGTCAGGAATCCTCTGCACAGAAGTGTGTTCTGTGCGAGTTCTGCTCCTGACCTACATGTCTTTCTCCTTCTGCTGTTGCAGCCATCTCCAGAGAAGCCCAGGTGATGCTGAAAGACTGCTTTTTCAGGCTGGTGGAAGGCGTGCCTGGCTAAGCAGCAAGAGCAGATGTGAGTATGCAAAGACCATTTTTTCCTACAAGCATCTTTTACCAACAGCCAGACAAAAAGCGTTCAAAAACGCTGTAACAACTTCTCCAAATTATTTTCCATTGGGTCCTTCGTGGCTCTGAAATGTCAGCATTACACTTCTGTCCTCTCAGAGCTAGAGGAACAGATTTGTTCTCACTCGCACCCCCTGGATGCACAAGCCTTACTATGGGGTGCAAAAGCAATGGGTGACCACCAGCCCCCCATGAGCCAAGCCTGCCAGCACAGATAATCTGCTGGGGAGATCAAAACCCCCTACAACATGGAGATCTCAAACAACCACAACAAGAGGAGGGCCACCTCCCACCACTTGTTCCTCTGGCCTGCATGGACTAAGGGCCAAGGGAAGTTTAATGTCCACTATTTGTCTTTAGGTTCCTAAACAGGCTCAGTTCAGAGGTGAGATGAAAAACACGAAGTACTTGTCCTTGCAGGAACACGGGCTGAGTGACCTGTGACAACTCCATCACTACCCACCTAGCCTGATGTTTGCAGCATGCAGTCTGAAGCACCACCCAACCCAGGCTCCTGCGCACGACTGGCACATTTAACCCCCCCACCCCAGGACTGGGCTTGGATTTTATTGTCCTGCACCACCTGCCATCCTCTCCTGCTTTAACCTGTCACAGTATTTTTCTCCCACAGCAGCCACCTTCCTTCATGACTTGGGCAATGGTGAGTAAGGGGGAGGATGTTATGGGGAGAGAGGATGGAAAATGCACAAGTTATGATTTCGCATGCAGCGGGTAAGGGAAGAAGAGGGCTGAGCAGCACTTGTTTCCTTGGGCACCAAACAAAGGGAGCTGACTAACTTCTGGCTGGTTTTCCTTATGACTGTCTTTTTAGGCTGTTACTCAGAGGTCCAGGGAAGGGTTCAGGAAAGGAAGTCCTGGCAGTTCAGACAGGCAGAGGCAAAACACCAAAATAAAAGAATAAGGCAGGCTGACAATTACAGAACGTGATCTCTCTGCATGCAGACAATGCCCAAGAGAACAGCCCCAGACTACGACATACAGAGAAGCCAGAGATGCCAGAGGTATTGGAGGCAATGCCTATGGAGAGCTGGGCAGAGGCGGTCAGTCTCCCATCCAACAAGGACATTCCTCACTGCACATGGGCTTTGTCACCTCGCTCCATAGCGATTCCCACCCATCAGCCCTCCCTGGGACCTACAAACTCCTCATCCAAGTCTCCACTTGGTCCTCTGCTTACTGGTTACATGGTTTCCCCAAGGGACAAGGAGGGAGGGAACACCTCCATGGGACACCTTGAGACTGGGACACTACAAAACCCCGATAAAACCTTACATATGCCTGAGCTTGGCTTGAAGCAATGCTAATCCCAACCCCTCCACCCCTTCTTTCCTGGAGAGGCCTGTTCACCTGCACCCTCAGCTGGCAACTGCAGTGTTTTTGGAAAGCAGCCATCTCCCATCCACCCTCTCCAAGCAGAGGCTTTAGCTGGGGCTCTGTCACTAACGAGGACTCCACGGCCATGTCTTTCCATCCTCTCTAACGACACACGCCCTGGCCCGTGCTTCTTCAGAGGAAACTCTCCCAGGAAGTGACTAGCCCCCTCCCCTTGATATCCAGTGCAGGGTTTTCCCTTCGTAACTGTCTGCGTGAGGAATTCCTGCAAGATGCTTGGCAAGACTGCTCCCGACTCTGCCCAACTCCATTAGACATCATCTGCTCACGGACGTAACAGTTTGAGGGAGATGGTAAGCCGAATAGAAAAGGATTAAAATCTGTCTTTTGCATCCATCGGTTCAGAGATCAGCCAAATTGCTCAGCCTAATGTGGCCGCTCAGACATAGCCCACACCCTCCCCAATATTGCATGTGGTCCTCAGCATGGTCCTAAAATCAAAACAGCTCTGGGTTGGCTTTGACTTTGTGCCTTTTTAGGGTTTGGTTGGTTTGATTTTGCCAACCCCAGTCTAGTCTGGTCCGCTCCCCCTTGCATGTGGACTGGAGAGAGGGACTCACCACAAGTTGAGCATTTTCAGGCAGCTACAGAGAGTGTAGAGAAAAAACACAGAAAGGAAGAAAGAGCAATTAGTTCACAGAGGTGGGATGAAAGCATGTCACTGCAGCCATGCAAACATGCAGTGCAGACTGGCAGACACACACCATGCCTGCCCACCGCCCGCCCCCCAGCCCTCACACCACCTCTACCCTTGCCATGGCGCCACTGAGAACTGCCATGTTCTCCGGAGTCTCGAGGCCTCCGACAAACACCCCCTTTTTTCCATGAAGGCAGCGGCCCCATGAGGTTCTTCTCTGGGGCTGGGATCAGAAAGAGGCTCTGGGCCACCAGGAGAGGAATATGCTCTTGTCCCCTGCAGCTCCAGCGGCAGAAGGGCCAGATCACGGATCTACGCCTGGGACCTGCCCTTTAGCAAAACCCATGGCTGGGTCAAGAGTTTTATCTCCAGCACACCCCAAAGCAGAAGCATTGCACAGCTCCTCTGCCTGCCGGGAGTGCCAGGGAAAGACCTTTCTGCTATTGCATCTCGTCTCAAAACACAAAGCCCCAGCTCCAGCTCCTTCTAGCTCTTTCTGTCCCACTTTACTGCAGAGCAGAATCCAAAAGTCCTTTGCCCTCCTCATATAACAGGGGATTTATGATCATAGATGCAAGGGAAGATGAAGCCAGCTCTCTCTGTGGTGAGAGGAACAAAGCGGACTACACTTGGGAATTACAAGAGACCCCAAACCTGTCAGTGCAAAGCAGCTTATGCTCTGCTTCCCAGCACCTCCAAAACCAATTTGGGACCACACAAACAAGGGCTGGAGAGAGACAGAACAGTCCCATGCACTGCGAGGCATGGCTTGGGCAACACGGCTCTTGCACACTCCTTTTCACCTGTCGTGACATCTCCCCTGTACACAGATGTGGGGTCTGGACCCTGGCCTCGCTGAACAAGGCGCTGTAGAAACACAGGCTGAAGGTCATCCCATCTTAAAAGCTGGCTTTTCCTTGCATTGGGTTGCTGTATTGAGGACTGTTAAGGGTGGCAATTTGCCCCACCCTAGGAGCAACCCCAAGCCACATGCCCGAGGGGGACCCACTTCAGTCTGACCAAGACAGAGCCTGTGATGCCAAACTGGTGGTCTCTGCAGGCCACACTACCCATATCTAAGAGGAATATTGCCCAATCCGCAAGTTGCACCTCAAGATCTCCTCCACCCCGCCATACTTGATGAGGAGCTTGCACCAAAACCAAGGCTTGCTGCTTTGGCTGGGAGGAGAAAGTTTATCTGTTGCTCAGGCACATTGCTGCCAGGATCATGCCTAGGCCAGCTACCAGCAAGCAAGATCACGCACAAGTGCTTCCCAAGGGACAGAGGAACAGACAGAAGACCTTCAGGATGACCAGCACTGGCTTCAGACTGACGCATACCTAGGGACCTTTTCCAACAACACACCCTTTCTCGCGCCTGCCAGTTTTCCTCTTCGCCCTCCCACAAGCCATTCCTAACAGAAGTTCCCACAAAGGCTGAGACAAACAAAGTGGGACAAGTGACACCAGTGTCATCCAGTCAAATTATAACCAGGCAGTTGGTCAACTTCACAGCACCGACCAGTTCAAAGGCAGCCCCGGGGCCTAATTTACCCCTCACACAGGGAGTGTCAGGATTACACTGTGACCTGCTAGGGTCCTGGTCTAGTTCAGAGGCAGCGAGAGGGTCCCACATTAAGGATCATGCAAAAGGTGACATGATTGTGCCAGATGCAGCACGTGTGCAAAGGAGGCTGAAATGGTCAAAGCAGCAACTTCGTATATCGGTTCTCACTCTTGACCACAAGCTACGGAGGAGAGGTCAGCTCAGAGGGAGCACGCTCTTCCCCACAAGCAGGAGGGCTGCTTCTGGTTTCTCTCGCTCAGCTTCCGTTGGGCTGGACTAAGAGAATTCACAGAAAGAGCTACCAGTCCCTGCAAGAGTTACTTTAGGACCATTGTGGATACCTGGCATCCACTTCTTGCAGCCAGAAATAAAGTGTTAACTTTCAGACCAACAATCTCTTCACTGAGCTGTGCTCAAGCTACTCCTACACTCTCAGCACAAGAGTACAGCATGTTCTCCTTTTGGAACAGGGATGCTCACCGGGATTCCTGAAATCTATTCACATTATTTTGGTATTTGTGCTACTGTCTATCTTGCAATACATGCTCTGAGTAAGAGTTATGTTCTCCAGCCATGACAAGTGTAAAAAAGAAGCAGCAGCAGCAGCACTGAAGGCACCATGCACAAAAGCAGCAATATGCAAGGAAAAGGGCATGGGACACGAGCATCGAGTACTTCACCGCAGGTAAACATCCTCACTCGTTTCCCAGGAGGAGGATTAATGACCACACCAGTGGAAAGCCTGTTGTAAAGCAAACGTACTTAGCTTCCTCCACCACCTCCACCTCCGCCTGTGCTGTTATTGGCGCATTGGAGTGTGCCCCCGTCGGGTCATCCACGTTCAGCTCCCCGTTGGTCGAGCTAACCACCTGAAACACAAATGAATACCCAGTTAATGAAGTCCCCATGCATGTGATGGATCTCCACCCGCCTGGACAAGGGATGCTGTGGGAATGGGAAATCTGTGGAATAACTACTGTTTGCTCCTGTCTCTTTGCACCCTCTTAGCACACTGTCAGATTCCTTGGATGCCTTTGAATCGTGTGCCTGGTTTGGAGAGACCAGCTGGCTCATCCCAAGCAGAACAGCAGGCAAGAGACTGTGTCTGTGTTCACTAACTCACACTCCTGTGCCCAGCACAGGTTGTCTTGTCTTTGGGAGGCGCGGCCACTAGTGTGAAGACTAGTGGACAGCCCTATATACACACACAAACTGTATTATGTTGATTGTTTTCTCCTGACACTTTTACAGGCAAGCGACTCAGTCCTCTTGCCTGCCAATACCATGGGAAGGAGTCACTCAAGAGCCACCAGTGTCTCACCCCTTACACAGCCAGTTTCTGGAATTATGTCCTCACCCAAAAGCTACTGATATGGTCTCTCATCTCCTTTTGCTTCACAGCTGACATTATGGCTTGCTTCAGCATTTCCATTATGGGTATGACCATCCAGATTCCCCAGCTGCCAGCAGCTCTGCATTTGCCAGGAAAGCACATTATTTTCTGGATAATTCATCATTGCTCTATTGCCACGACAACTGCCAAAGAAGCCTGTATGGAACCGAAGTTTGGCTGGCCCTTCCGCACTCCATCTGGAAGTTAGGACAGGCTCCTACATGTTGCTGTGAACACCTAGAGCTGCTCCTGTGTCCAGAGCTGTAACGATGCATGGTTCCCCTCCCACTCCACCTCTTCGCCTTTCTACAAGGTAAAAGGAGGTATCTCCCATGGGGGAGGTTAAGGTGCTACCCAGTATTCCTAGTGGCTCTGTATGACCTAACCACCAGAGATGAAGGGAAGGAAGCCATTGAAGCAGATGTCCCTTCACTATTAAGTGCATCTATCCATGATCGTTTTGAATACTTCAGTTCTACCAGCAACTGCTGTTCCTCCAGATTAAGTCCCATGGCCAGTCTCTGCCAAGTCAGGTCAGGACTCGGCTCATGCGGTTTTCAGAGCTCTCCTCCAGTGACAACCCCTTGGGTTCTCTTCACACACCCCTTCCCAGACTCATCACACTGTGGGCCCACCCAGGTTCTCCAGACCCCCACGCTTCCCACACAACTTTGCAAAACACTAGCACTTAATTGTGCTATTCCCAGTGATCTTCCCACACTTTCTTCAGCTACTTGTTAAATTTCATTTTACAAAAGGCTTTGATTTTCCTCCTCTTTTTTTATGTGCCACCACTTCATTTTGATGTGGCAAATTCAACCATTGCCTTAAAGGAAATGGCCACTCGAAGCTACTGACCTCCCAAGGGTTCAGCATGAGCTGGAGCATCTGTTGAGAAACAACTTAAGCATCTGCAGCCCAACAGCCGTGCACAGCAGAAGATTTCCTGTTCTTGGCTGCAGATAAGCAGAATTTTAATGCTTACGGTGGCACATATAGGCTTGTAAACTGCTCAGGTAGGTAACCTTCCCAGTCAAATTCAGACTAGGACTGCATTATTGCTGTAGCTACTCTGGCAGAGCGCTGTTTGTGGGGAGACACAGCTCACGCTGGCTTTGTTCAAGGAAACTATTCCCCTTACATAAAAAAACATGAATAAACACACCTGCTCTGTACTTACTGAGTGCTGAATTCATAGAATCACAGAATGGTTTGGGTTGCAAAGGACCTTTACAGATCATCTAGTCCAACCCCCCTGCCATGGGCAGGGACATCTTTCACTAGACCAGGTTGCTCAAAGCCCTGTCCAACCTGACCTTGACACTTCTCCATTTTACTGTCTGCTCATGTCTGAGATCAGAGCTATACATCCACTAGTTTCCTCCTTATCTTTCAGTTTCTCTGCTACTTCGTAAAATATCTTTAAATGAAAAAAGGAATGCTGATAATCAAGCCAAAAAACCACTGAATCCAACAAAGTATCGGGAATAAGTAAAAATTTCAACCTAATCTGTATTTCACTCAGGGGCATCTTGCACTACCTGTCACCTCAGCTCAGCGCTGTCCCACTCTAGGCACTAATTCCCATTTCACCAGAGCCAATTTTCAAAGTGGTGTGTGTGGCACTAGAGCCAGCTCTCGCAGGCAAACCTCTGCCAAAGAGTTCACCTTGCCAGCACTATTAGACAGTTCTTCTTTGCTTGAATGACTCTCGCATCTTCTCTCTAGTGCATCCAGCCATCTTAGTCTGACAGTAGCGCAAGAAACTTCCTTAGCGAGCCTGAGTAACAGCCAGAGGTAGGCATGGTTTCATAAACAGAAGCAGTCTTTTCAGGAATTTAAAAACTCAGCTGTAGTGCCACCTTTAATGCTGTCTGGCACTGTTGTGCATCCTCTGCTCATCCACCTTCCACAGTGCAGTCACCCAGAGATCCAACTTGCAGCCACCACGCCCTTACACTGGTGCTGCTCTGCCACTGGATCCATAACTAAAATGCAAATGCACTGGGGAGCAAGAGAACAGGGTCACCACACGCTGCAGTGACAGTTCAGCCTGTGTTCCCTCCATCTGGAGGGAGAAGTGGCTGGACAGCCTGCTCGTACCAGCCATCCCCTGTGCATTTCTCCAGTGTGACACTCCTAGATTTCCATTAAGCACGAGGAATTCAACCAGAACCTCACCTATCAAGCCTGAACTAGAACAGCTCAACTGTTTTCCTAACACTAATGGGGTTTATATGCAACAAACCCTCTTTCAGCTGCTTCTTGCTACCTAAGAGCATCCCCAAGATGGGGATAGAGGGGTGCTTTATAGAACAGACCTGCTATTATACACTCCTTTCTGTGTTCCCTTTGACAACTCTGAGTTCAAAATAGCTCTCAGAGGAAAAGCTTCACTGAAATGGTAACAGCAAGGATGTTGGCCACCACAGCTTGGGTTCCACAAAACCATGGCTTGAGCGTTATGTACAGGACAGGACCAAACTGGCTTGTGAAATGGCTCTCCTGACCACGATGTTACTGCAGTTTGAGGAGAATTCAGGGGATTTAACACAAATTCTTGCATCAGGGCTGTACATATCAGGAGGAAGAGGTACCTGTACTGATCCTCCGTGCCGATCTGCAGCCAAATGAGATGTCAAGTACGACGTATTAGTCTGCCGGCTTGGCTGGATCTCCCACTCCCCTCGGCGATCTGATGATGCCTGCTCACAAATTGAGAAGCACGAGAGAAACAGAAGAGAGGGCAAAAGGTGAATGAGGGGAAGAAATAAAAGGGTGTTTGTTAGTGAGTTAGTTTCTTTGCAAAAAGCAAGGCATTTAAACTTTTAGCTGGGCTAAAATTTCTCTTTACCAAGTGCACCTCATACTTTACTTCAGCGGTCTCTGCAGTAATCCACTGCAGGAGTGGATTTCTTCTCCTCTAGCTGCTAAATGAAGAGAAAGCTCAGATCTATTCAGGAAGTTATTTTACACGGCTTCATTTCCATGGGTTTCAGCATAGAAATAAACACACTGACAGTATGTTAACTTATGTCTGTCAGGTCACACGCACCAGAGCACTTGGCATGGCAGCAAGACTGGATACACAAGCTCGACCTGCCTAAAATACATATTTTTAAACTCAAATTTGCAACATAAAACAAAGCCACATTTTATTTCACCAAAAGCCAGTTCCACACACTGATTCACCTGTACAGTGCAGAAGGAAACATCCACCACACCTGCTTGACTGGAGAGAGGGTTGGTGGCTTTTTGGTTTTCTGCAGAAAAGTAGATAAGAAACTTTTGCTAACAGTTTCTTCTTTATCCCCAACAGATGCAAACTTTATGCAATTTAATTATTAGAATTTTGTTTGTTTTATTAGAAGAACCACTTTGTGCTTGCATGTGAAACTCCTTACAGGTCACCCCGTTTTGATGACAACACATCCAGCATTCACCTAAGACCTAGGAGAGGATCTTAGCGCACCTAAAGCCAACCAACCAGCAAGAGGAACGCTTCCCAAGAGTGGAAAGTGTAGGACAAACAGGTAGATCTGTGCTGGCCTCAGGCCAACAGCTGAGGACATCATCAAGCCTGAAGTGACTGATGAGACATATTTAAAAGGTCTATCCCTGGAGAACGTATAAAAATTTAAGCAAATGTTTCAAAGCTGAAGCACAAGTTTGAAAGAAGAGAGGGCAGAGCAGCAGAGTTCCCCCCAGTGCACATGCACCTGGCAGGAGGGATGCTTAACAGAGACACTGTGGACCTGGCCAGGAAACAAGAGGCTGAAGCAAATAAACACCAGGTTATCAGCAGTGAAGCTGAAGTAGCTAACCAAAGAGAGGTGCACAGGCCCTGCCTTTCCTCAGCACTACTTTGTGTTACTCCCTGCAGCCATGGATGATGAGCCTGAGCCCTAGTCAGAGCAAGAGAAGCCACAGGGCTTAGTGCCACAGTAAAAAAAAGGAAAAAAAAACCCCAAAGACTACAAGCAGAGAAAGACTCAAGAAACCTTTGAATAAACTTCAACACTTACTAGTAAATTGTCACTCAACTAGAGCAGGAGCACGTGCAAAAAGTAAGAGAATAAAAAAAGATGTCTCCTGGGATTTCATAAAACATTCACTATCATTCCCTTTGCATGTGACCTCCGACTCCCTCCTGGAGTAAGCCACGGTGCTGCTCCTCCTTCTAAGCACCCAACAAATCTAGTTCATAGGTACTATTTCCCTAGAGGTGGTTTTGTCCAGGCTCATCCTCTTAAATCTTCTTATTACGTGTTCTTCCTGTCAGCTTGAGATGCTGCTTACCCTTTTTGTACTTGGTGACATTCAAAGGAGAAGCACTTCCCTTGGAATATTTTTTTAATGGCTGGAAGTCACAAGATAATGAACAACTGTAGAATTTAAATGCAGGTTTTAAAAGCTAGTAGAAGACAGATCTTGAGTGCTGCTTCTTCCAAAGCACTATGCCATCAGGTCGCTTGGCTAGCCCAGGTGATGAAGGAGTACCATGCTATGTCAACGTTAGGAGAAGCAAGCTGCTGCCTAGGAGCCTGGAAGCAGTTTCTAGGAAAGACTCTGGTAGCCACAAGAGAGAGATCTTTTCTCTTTTAGCTCTACAGCCAAGTACGTGACAAGCTGGTTTTGTAGTAGGCTTGAGCTGAGCCGCCCAAATCGCAACCCAAGCTGTGACACTGAGGAAGTGATGCCCGTGAAATTTGAGAGCATCAAGTTCCCATTAACACTCATCACCTTCCTACCAGCTACCAAATTACAAGACAAGACTGGCATCTAAAGACAGAGGGGGAAGGGCTCACCCATCTTGGATAGTTAAGTATCTTCACTTCCTAGAAGAAAAAGCTACAAAAAGGAAATCACTCTCTCATCAGTGTCTTTAGTGGCAACCAAATATTATAAAAGAGAATCTGCAGTTATTATACCTGGGGAAAAAATAAGGCAATTAAATCTGGAGATCAAGGCAGTCACTTGACCCAAACCCAGGCCTCCAATTCACTGCTCTAGATGTTTATTTTTTCTACTTTTTTCCTTTAGAGAAATGGTTTGCTCAATACTTAAAAGGAACATCCCTTGGAAGAGAGCTGTTTATGTTTTGGTGAGAAGAAACTGATTTTCTCTGCATACTGGAATATTTAATAATTCAGCATCCTAAGTAACGTTTAGGTGGACAAAATAGGTGACAAAAGCTGCTATGCAATACAGCATCAAGACTAGTTGTGAGGCTCAGAAGAATAAGGACTGAAGGCTGCCTGCATAATATTTTGGGACTAGGACAGATTTCTTTGGGCTACGTACTATAATTTGTGAAATAACATGCTTGAAAATGAAGCCAGGCGTCATTGTCCATTAAAGGAAACAAGATGCCTCATACGTACACAGCGTGAAGGTCTGTTGTCAAAGCGGACCACTAGAGACTGCCACCCAAAAAAGGGGGGGTTAATGCATTAATCAGGCAATATGTTAAAGCAGATTATTTTACTAGTACTCACAAACCAGTCCACACTAATCAGCATGCATAAATACAGTACTGCACACGTGATTCAAACAATCCAGCTTCCTACAAGCAACGCTTCTAACAAGGGGTATTCATCCTGATTGTAGCTGATGGTTTGAGATGTATTCTAGTCTACGTTAGCTGTTCTACCATTCAGAGCCCAGCTGTATGGAACAAGGAAAGCTGAGCCCAGACAGGTTATTACATCTCACACTCGATTCTGCACCCACGAACCCCAGCTTGTGCAAGCTGAGTGGGAGCAAAGACAGCAGACAAGGAGCTAGAACGGCACACAGCAGTTAGAGGAGCAGAGCGAGCCCAGAACCACTCACTGGGAAGTAAGAGCACCAACAGCTCTAGCTAGGAGCCGGCAGTTGGAGATCTACTGAACTTCTGATCAGTTCTGTTAATACAGAAAATCCAAACTCTCAACACCAACAAAATATTACAACTAGAAAGGAAAACATGAGGAAATTCAAATTCAAAAACTGGCAGTTCATCTGGACCACGATGCCCAGCCTCCCCAAAGGACCCTACCCTGACAGTCCTTTATGCTCTGCAACACTCACGCCGTGAACTGGACACCCTGAGAAGGATATATTGCGCATACATGGGACACACACATCCTTACTGCAGCCGCACGGTCTATCGGAATAGGGCACCTGGGGGCATGCTGCCATCGCCACAACTGTTGGTCTACACCACGGTCCATGTGCTGTGAGTAAAAGCACCCAAAAGAACATTGTTGGCCAGACAGGTCAGGTAGTCTGACCAGGCTGGATTGTTGACTTAAACAGCTTACCCACAAACTACAGAAAAATGACCCACTCCAAATTGTACTCCATTTGGTTCACAAACCCGAGGAATTCCACTGGCTGATACAGTATTTCAGCAACCTGTTGCTTTGACAAAATTCTGCTCAAATCACAGTCTCTATATTCAGCAGGAATTGTGCTTGCCATGACCAAGGCAAGAATCAGCCCCAGACACCTCTAATGGTGTACAGCTTCTGCTTCTCCGATCCAAGAGGAATTCAGACAGGTGCCAAACAATGTGGCATTGCTGAAGTAGTTGCGAGCAACGCACCTGATTGCGAAGGGCCTGCTGCGATGGTCGATCCCTATGGACATGGCTGTCTCTTGTTATTGCGGACGTCCCAGAATCTACGTGAACAGATCCTACTGGAGTAGGCTGGAAAACAAGGCATTTGTTAGGATGAAGCCAATGCTGAAGATGCTGCTAGCTCTCTCAATACATGCATGCACAAACCTAACTTGACAGGCTAGCTCCCATCGGGTAGAAGCAGGAAACCGTCAAAACACTGCCCAAAGGTACTGACAATAACCAAGGAAAATTACAGCCAGGGCTATAAAATCCCCGTGATTTGATGGGTATGGGATTTGATGCTGGACACCAGCACCAAACATCTTGTATAAAAATTAATTTAAAAGATATAGTTAGATATCTGTATCGGTGTCACACCACACCTAATGAGTCTCACATAGGATTATTACAACTGAAAATATACAGACTTGTTTTCCTCATCTCATCGTCTTGTCACTTTTAAAAATCATGCTTGCATAGAAACAGGATGTGTTAAAATTAAAGCTTCATCTGCTCTATTCTCACCAAAGTCATAATCCCTGCTCACAACATCAGAATCTCCATAGCAACCACTGCAGTTGTCAGCAATAGCACGCTTGTCTTACAAGGTGCTTTTTATCAATTGCTTTTGTAGTTAAACAAAAATGAGGAGAAAAATCATGATTCACAAAGGGAATGATTTCTTATGAAGATGAATTGTTTTGGGCACAGTAAACATTGGTAAAGCTAAATATAGTTGGGATGGTAAATCACCGGCAACAGTACCAAGTTTAGTACTGAAGGCATTTGATCTGGCACGAGTGACAATTAATTTACAGATGCCTTTGCCATTGCCAGTGTGTGGTGACTGGCCATTAGCAAGAATGCTATCAGCAGAATGACACAAAACACAAGCGACAGGCAGCCAGCGGAAGAGCTTTAGACTTTTCTACCAGATTGCCCCATGACATATCTTTTGGCCAAGGTCGGCTTGAGTATAAATGGCTTTTGATAATAGAAGCAATGCAATGAGATCATGATTATGGTCCACCTGGTGTCATGGAACTGCTAAATAGAGTTTGGTTACTCCCACATTTCCTTGCCATGTGCTATAAAGAGCTGGTTCAGCCTCCAGAGTAGGGTAAACCCCAAGATCTTTTGAGCGCAGAACTGGTTTGCTGTTATTATTCACTGAGCATTCATCAGAGCCCTGCCTAGCTCTCCCATATGTCTTGATGAGAACTCGACCATTAAGGAGGTCTTCCACCGTTCAGTGCTGAGGTAGCAAGTACGCCCTCCTGCTTTGAGATGGATGTCTTTAGACATTGGTCTCAAATCCTGTGCTAGACTAGAGGAAATTAAGCCTGGTCATGTTCATTGCCACAAGTAGGAAAATCAGGCTTGAATGCCTCACCAGGGCAAGCCCAAAGAGGTGGGAAGGGGCCCTGTGTGCCTTAGGGGAACTTCAAGGCACTGCAAGAACCCCCTGAACATAATGTCAGGACATCTCACTATGTTGAGCCCATGTTAGCTAGAGAACAGAAGTGAAAGATTTGATCCTAAGCTCACCAGCATTAATTGGGATTATCAGGAACAAAGAGCCAGGTGGTGGGGAAGCAGCACCTGGAAGGTAAGGCACTGCATTTTGCAGGGACAACTTACAATTGGCCTGCCGACCCAGTCATAGGCGTAGTCAAAGGTGTAGCCTTTCTTTTCAAACAGCTCTGTGAAGATGGTTCTTAAATAATCGTAGTCTGGTCTCTCAAAGAAGTCTAATCGCCGAACATAACGGAGGTACGTGGCCATCTCCTCTGTTGGAAAAGGGGAAAAAAGTAGCAGCGTCAGTTCTGCTCGCACATGAGCTTCGTCACTTACAAGCCTCTCAGAGCCAACACACACACTGGAAATATGCTTTTCAATTAACTCCAGCAAGGCTTTCCCATGGCACTAGGCTCAAAGTTGATGCTTAAAGTTGGGCTGAGGGCCAGATGACCAGTGACGTGAGTTGTTCAGGCTCTGCTAAGTTCAGCTGAGCCATGCGGATTAACAGAAGCTGAGGATGTCCAACAAGTCTTCACCCTCAGTGACCTAGTCAACAGTCTTTTATTGCTAGATGAATCTCACTTAGCTTTCCAGAGCCCTCTTGCCCTGCCCAGAGTCTAGTAATAGTCTGCTTTTATTCTGAATCTTCTGAATGAGTTGTTATAAATTAAGATCTGTGTTTTAGCATTGAGCGACACGCTGTGAGAGAATTGTCTGGTCTGCCAGTGCTACCTCTAGCTTTTCCTATAAAAGTAGTGGTTTTTAGTAATAGTCCACAATGCAAATCAATTCAAACACTTCTCAAGGAAAGATGGAAGTCCCACCTCTGCTCCAGAGAGCTGCTGCTCCACCTGAAATCTGAGTTCCACAGCTAGTTTTATTCTATACATTTGTATAAAAACAAACGCTAAAACACACTGTACAATAAATGCCAACTCACTGAACCTGCCAACAGGATGCTCACATGTATATCTGCTTATACAGACATTTAAAACAGCCACAGTGATTTCATCTGGGGAAGGAAAGCAAGAGATGTTGGTGGGCACCTCATGGCACCCCTGAGCTCCAGCAACAACTAGGGTCTGGCTGCACAAAGTACTGTGCTGTCCAGCGTCATTACATCAGTCATAGCCTTGAATATTCAAAACAAGACTTAGAAGGGGAGGGTCCAATGTTAATTTACCTGGCACACACAGAACAGTGTTAGATATTAAGCTAATTAATTGCTTTCCTGCATCTGGGTCGTACTTCGCATGCACAGAGAACTGAGCCCTGGTAACTCATGTCCTGCCCCTTCCCAGCTCTCCCTTGGCTCACACCTAAGCCAAGGTAGAATGTTTGAGCAGAGCTCAGTACAAGGCGTGAGTCTGTGTACTGCAGTACGACTGATACACCAGCATGGTTTTTGCCTTTAGCTAATAAAAATAAGAACAGCATTGCTTATCGATACTTAATTCTGTCTGTGGCTTGCAGCTTCCATGTCACATGGAGGTAAAACAGGAAAAAAAAGGAGAAGAAAGGTAATCCCCTCTTCCTGCTACTATCTCTGAAAGGTGGACAACCAACAGGTTTCAGGTGAGCAAGGAACAGAAATAAATTCTCTCATCTCCCTTTAGCCGAGACCTGCAGGTGTGACCGAGCTCTGAGGAAGGAGTATTGGGGGAAAAAGCCGAGAATGGCCAACCTGAAGCTGTTCTGCTTGGAACTAGGTGGATTTTGGATGCAAATAAGTCTGGGGAATTAGCATGACTTGAGTGAACAATGATCCCCTTCCGGGCTTGCTGCTCCTCATGCTGGGAAAGAGCCATGTGACACAACAGCTCCCACAGGAATGGGACTAATCCTGGGGACCTGGGTGCTCTCCCTGGTGTCAGGATTTCAAAAATCACCAAAAAACCCCCACTCTGTGAAGGCCACAGGGTACCTGGGAAGAGGGCACAGGGTACCTGGGGAGGGCTTTAACTTTGCACTCTGCTCTCCTGGCTCAAGGTGGACTTTTGTTTAACTGGAGAAAAGGCACTGGGCTTGGCTAGAAGCACATCGTTAGTAACACTCTCCTTGAAAGTGCTGTCAGAAGGTGGAATTCAAGGACAGACACATCATCCCATCTTCTAAGCTGGCCACCTACAATTTTAACACCTGTAAAACCTTCAATTTGGAAAAGAATTAACTCAGTAGATCCAACATGGTCACTTGGAAGAGGGAAAATAACAAGGCCTTCTTTTGGAAGGAAGCCAAGAAACAAAGCAGGAACACCAGGCACTTGAGCATTATCCAGCCTCCTTGATGAGAAAAGTTATGCTTATTTTAAGCCACAGCCACAAGCCCTCAGGCCCTGCTAATTTATAGCAGCAGCTCCAGTTGTTTGCCAGCTTAAGGAACAACATAATGGATACATATCATCCAAATACTTTCTGCCAGAGGAGCTCAGAACTGTCATTATTTAACAAGGTATGTCCACCTCCAACTGCACTCAGATGGTCCCATTAGGGCTTTACCTGGAAAGTTCTCACAGAGAACTTCCACCGGAGTGTTTCTCTTTGTGTCCCCAATCTTCTGATACCTCTCTTTTAAGGTGTCAGCCTGTAGCGCACAAAGACAAAACAGTTGTGGAGAAAGAGTTCAACCATGTGATAAACGACATGCTGTATGGGAAGAAAAACAAGGTATTTAATACTGAGTCTGGGTGGTATCAGAAGATGTCACTTGTAACTGAACTGCATCCTAGACTACACTATTAGGAATACTGTCTTACCATGTGGTAATTCTCACTAGACATTTTATGTGCTGTCAGCAAAGAATATCCAGGGACACATTGAAAACATCTTCAGTACTTGGAAGGAAGGACACTTGTTAGCATCTTACAAGGCTAATATCTTACCAGCCCAGTCCTGAGGACCGTATAGGGAAGCTTTCATGGGATAAGAAAACAAAGCTGCATGTACTATGATTGCACATCAGTATCCTGTCCTAGGCTTAGAGCCACTGGCAACCAAGATGCCTTCATAAACAACTGTAAAAGTAGATAAATTGCAACAGCAATTTGGGTTTTTCTGTGTATAATAGAATGCCACCACACAGATAACTAGTTTACATCAGTCACACTTCTCCCAAATCCCATGTTACCCCAATACTGCCTCTCCTTTCACCCCCAAACTGTCTATCTCTTAGACAGCACTGACTAAACATCTGGTCATCAAGAAAATGAAACAATTTTCATTTTAGATTTCCCACCTAAATCCCCCCTGAAGCAGAGAACTCTGCTCCAGGTGGCACCCTAAGAACAGGTTTTATTGCCTCCATTTCAAAATATGCCAATTAGACCTGGCAGCAGCATAATTCGCATCATAAGATGTTCTCTCAAGACGTTAGCTTTGACAGTATAGACCAAAAGTGTAAGCTGAGGAAACCTAGAATAGTGAAGCTGCCATATTCTAGATCAAGCTGAAGAGTCTGTGTTTGTTCTGGAGCTAATGAAATGCAGGACTTCAAGAAGCAGTCAGCTAATTCTTATCAAGTTCAGCACTGAACTGAGGAAGTTTTGTAGAACCTTGTCTAAACCTGGAATTATTTTAGAATAACTTACAGGATTAATTTAAAGCAGATGACTTCAACTAAGCCTGAAACAAAATATGTAACAGAATAACACACGCTTACACAGGTGTGAACTTAAAGTCAGAGAGATTCTGATTTCTTTCACAGTCACTTTCATGCTTGAAAAACCCTTTCTTCGCTTTTATGAGTTGCCGCCAACATTTCTGGCACATGTCTGATAAACTGAGACTACCTCTGGTTAGATGGTGACAAAACAGCTTAACAAGGTCTATCATGCAAGCCACTGTCACTGACCGTAGCAGCACTCTGCTGAGCTGCTTGCGAGCCCAAAAGCTTGTCTCCCTTGTGCAACAGTACTAACAGGTCTAACAGGAATTATTGTCTTCATTAATAAACCTTCTCCTAACCTGATCAAATTTGATCCCTTCATTCACTGCAATTGCAAAGTCGAACACAGTAGCTTAATCATCAGGAAAGTGATGGAGAAGTGAAGATGCAGCTACCAACAACTTCAGAACCAGCAAATGACTTACTACTAGTTAATTCAGCTGACGGATGTTAGCTGCAGTTGCTGTAACTCAATTGCTTGCAGCCCTCCACATTGTACATGACATTTCATAAACTTCAAAGCACTGAGTGTCCAGTGTCTCTGGAGTGAAGCCAAGCTCAATACTTCTGCCAAAAAACCAGTTTTTCAAGCTGAAGTCCATCTGCACATCTAAAACCATCAAACTGCTCCTGTTATAAACACGTTCCACAGATGCAGCTGGGGGATTGTGTGCTGTAACCGGAATTTCATAAACAACTACTCTGTCCCGGTCGCACTCCAGCTCAGGGCAGCTTCATGTTACAGCAAAGCTGCTCCAACAGCTCAACAGCTCTCTCATTGCCATCCCTGTCCCAGCTGCTCATCTGCCCCTGCTGAATCTTCTCTCCAGACTTGTACCAATTCAGCTAAGCTAATGGTAACTTGAAGGGACAGGTAACATATTTCTAACTTAAAGTCTTTCCTGTAGGTAAAGCTAACGCCTTGTCGTTAGACTTCAAGGACACAAAGGAGAGGACAGTGTTTATGGCTGGATTTTGCAAATGTTTCCCCCATCAGATTCTCATTTGGGCGGAGACCAAAGTTTCAAAGGGCAAAACCTAAAGCTCAAACCTACCTTCAATCCTTGCCAGGGCAGACTGCCTCGGAGGAAATACATAAACATATGGCCGAGGGCTTCCAAGTCGTCTCGACGACTTTGTTCTAGAACAGAAGAGATGACAAATTATTGCTGCAGCTGTAGAAATGGATCTGAGATCTGATCAGTAGCCACACCTATTTCTGAGATAAAGTTATCACAGAGAAGTTCACTTGCTGTCTGTAGCTCAGATCTTGTGCAAAACCACCTAGAACCACAAACCCCCATAAAATATGTAAGGAAAAGATCAGCTAGAAGACACGAGATAACACAGGAGCTGTAAGACATACTGCCCAGCCTTAGGTAGAATGGATAAGAGGTAGAAGTATTAATCACAGAGGAATAAAGCAGTTCCCCAGTTCTCTGGACCACCAGCACCAACGGTGCACCTGCAATGTGATGCTGGACTACGTTATTTCCTCTAAACTACACAGGAACAGGCAGGGGATGCTTGCAACCAGCTGCAGGGAACTACCATGTTGCACAGTGCCAACCCTTTTCCAATTGCTTCTGCAGCTCATCACATCAGAGCGGATCAAAAATAGCTTCTTCTAGCACTGCTTTTCCTTGTGAAACACTTGCTGCTGTTGCCATGCAGATGTTGATTATAAATGAGAGGGGGGGAAAAGGGGCCTCAAGCCAAAGGGAAAAAGCATCCTTAAAATAATCTACCAAACTGTATTGACAAACCCAGGGGAGGATACAGGACAGAACAACAAATCTGGAGTGCAACGGCATGGGACTGCTGCTGTGCTGGGCTGTATTGTGCAGACTTGGGCTCACTGAACTTGCAGATTGATTTGATGCAACCTCCCCTCCGCCAAATCTCCACCTGCAAGCAAATAACGTGCTCCACAGCCGCAATCCAGAGCAGATCTATTCATGCAGCCCACACGCCACGACAAACTGCGTGTGAGCTGTCCCTGTTGCTGCATCATCTGTAAGAGGAGAAAAATGCAGCTCTTTGCCCAGCATGACTCTCCTTCAAAAGCAGCAGCAAATTTAACCCTCAAAAGATGCTGGGTGTGAGAACACTCAGCAGAAGCGAATTGAGATGACAGTTCCAGCAGGTTACCTTAATATAGCTGTAAAAATGGAAAAAAAAGAGGATGTCCTGGGTAATTTAGTGCAACGATGCAGATGAACTTCCCGAGAAGATGGTTGAGTGCACTCATCTTTCAGAAAAATTGCAATCAGACTCCTTCACTTTGCTTGGTCCTGAAATATGAGGGGGCCGACTCCACCTGGGCTGGCCCCACCAGCAAAGCACCAGCCCCACAAAACCCTTCTGGGCAGAGACAGGCCCCTGCACAGCTGGTAGCCAACCTTTTCCTCTTCAAATACACCCACCCAGAACCACCTCTTCCCCCACAGGAACTGTGGCGTGAGCTGCAAAACCTGCAGGGAAAAGGGTCCTAAAGAAGGCACGTGATGTACTTCAAATGCAAGCAGATCTTCTTTCCCCATCCACCCACAGAGTGCATCCCTGGCACCAGCAGCTCCCGAGCCTGCTCCTACTGTGACTTCTCATTCCTCCATCCCTTCCTGACTCTTCACCAGGTTTTCCAAAATTAGAAGTTGGGCTTATCCCTCCTTACTCCCCAAAGAGAGCAAGCTCTCCAAGAGACATGAAAGCCAGCAATGCCTTGATCTCATAGCTGGGAGGCTACTCAAATTCCATTATCTTACTGCTCTTATGAGTTTAAGTGAATATAAACATTTAATAAGGTTTTTTGCCTTTCAGCCACAGAAATGTAATCTTCTGGTATGAAAGAAGACAGTGAGGAGAGGAGATGAAAGCCAGATTTAAAATTAGTTAAATCATTAATTTTCTCTAACCAATTATTAGGTCAGGGAACATCCAACTCTAACACCTGAAACTGGAAGGTACCGGTACTGAGCTGTGCTATAAAAATCTATTTGGTCATCATTTAGTGCAGCAATTACTACCCGCCTACTGGCTTTTAACAGTGCAGGGTTGCTACCAGTTATTTATTCCTAATAAAAACTGTAATTACGAGGCTTCCAACATTTCAGCTGTCTCAGTTCCTCAAAAGGGGGAAAAAAAGCCTCACAACTGTAAACAGCATCAGGGCATCAAGAGGTTTACAAATAGCTTGAAAGGCACGAGAGAGCCATAAGCCAAGCTACTGTCAGAGGCCTACAGGACTCGGCATGGCAAGCTCCCACCAACAGACCTTTGCCAAGATGGGTGTTGATGGACATGTATCGCGCTGTTCCAGTTAAGCTCTTGTGTTCCCTGTAAGGTATGTGTTTTTTGGTTTCCGGGTCAATGTACTCCTTCGCCAATCCAAAGTCTATGATGTGAATGACGTGCTCTTTCTTATTGCCTTGCCGGCCAATAAGGAAGTTTTCTGGCTTGACATCTCGGTAGATGAGGTTCTTCGAATGCACGTACTCCATTCGAGATATCTGCAAAACAATGAGGCAAAAGTTATTCATGAGCAGACCATCTACCATGCTCTCCCAGCTAATGAGGCAGCGAGGTTTTGTTAGCCCATCACTGAGCCTCGGCTCAGTGCTATCTCAGATTTCAGCTGCTCTACAAGAAACACAACAACGGATGGATTGAACCAAGGCAGCAGTTATGATCGGAGCTGGGTCACGTCCTTCGATGCAGAGTCAGAAAAGGAATTTGTCATCTCCTCCCTTCTCTGGCTACCATACTGCACTCTCTGACTTTATTCCTACAGAAATTGCAAAGACTGTTTCTGAAACGTTACCACCAGGACACAGCTCTTGGAAGGATGCCACAGGGAATTGCAGCAGCCTTTTTGTATTGATTTTAAACATACTAAACTGGTTACCAAGATCTCTTCCCTTGCCCACAGCCTTCCCTTGTTGCTCTGTGTCTTACCACCTTCCTCCCTCGACCCATATGTTGTCTTAGACACGCCAGATTCTTCATGGAGGGGGATTTTTGGGCAGGCGGAAGCCTTACGATCCTCAACGCTGACTAAAAATAATAATTAACCTCATCGGTTGTCAACTAGGAATAGCTAGAGTATTTTTCAGCTTTTGACTAACTTTGTTCTGGCAGTATGACTGAGAAGGGAAGCTAAAAGGGCAGGAACCCCACTTCCAAGGTGATGGAGGGCCATCTCCCCTCTAACAATGCTTATTCAGACGCTCATCATTAATACTGCTTTTGAAACTAAAAATCTTGCAGATAAAGTCTGAATATGTTGCCAAGCAGTTCTCCTTTGAGTTCCTAACTTAATAGATGATTTCAATCGGAAATAACTCACGATTTCACTTAATTTATTACCTTTTAATTTCCTTTTTAGGTTTTAAATGAAAACATGTGAATTCCCTTTTATGGCCATCCTGGTCTGCAGCTGCCCAGCATGCTGTAGGGCATGGTGGCTTTTTTTGAGCAAGATGCTTCTTTGGAAACACCTTTAGAAGCTACCTGTCTGCATGCAGGCTTGCAACACTACAAAACCATTGCAAAGCTCTCGCAATCTCCAAATTTTGCACTAACGAGCACCAGTCCACAGAGGTCACTGCCGCACCATTGCGGTGGACCTCACAGTGTGATGCTATCAGATCTGGGGAACATCTAAGGTGAGAGCCACCGGCTGGTCACCCCCCAGGGAGCTCCCTGCGGGGACTCGCTAGTTACTGAGCCGTTCTGCACTGGGTCAACACTGGCAGGTCGGCTCCATGCCTCCCGCACAGGGCAGGCTGGAGCTCTGGATCACCAAGCCAGCTTTTCCCCCAGCTGAGCAGCTGCCCAGGCAGCAGTAACCCCACGTCAGTCCTTCCAGCCACCCTGCTTGCCTCAACCACGAGCACCGTTGGGCTGACAGACCCTGACTGCTCTTTGGCTTCTTGCTCTGAATCCAGATGCATTTTCAGCTGGCAAACCCCGATCTCTCTTTCTCTTCACAGATGTTGGATCCACACCTGGTGGAAAGCTCCAGATGCGTGTGATCACTCCATCCCGCTCCCAGAGGTTTATCAGATACCTTATTTTTAAGGAAAATCTGCTGCATTTCCACCACCCAGAAAGAAGTAACAGGCAGGAGGGGGCAGCACTCCTTGCAAAATAAAAAATGCTGTACAGGGAAGGCAGCAGACAGGAAAAAATTGACTGCAGGTGAATCAGTCTTAAAAAACAGGACTTGCTCAAAGGCTCTTCAAAGAAGGTAACAGCACATGTTGCCATTCCCCTCCCCTGTAAGTAGCGATTTATTTCAATGCACTGAGAAAATGGGTTTCACAGCTAACAGCCATTATTTCTAATCAATTACAGGATGATGCAGAACAGAGCAGATGCTCTGCACTTCAGCCATTCTTCACGCTTTGAATCACCTAGAGGACACAGCAGCAGGTTGGAAGACAAAAAGATATGTCAGGAGGCAATTCAAATTAAGATGCAACCCTTAAAACTGGAACAAAGTGTTTCCTCGCCTCTCCATACATAATAACCTTTCAAACAGAGCCTGACTGGCTCATTTGATTTGTCCCTGCTACCAGAGAAGCTCCATTGTTGAAACAGCCAACAGCAATTACACAATCTGAAAAAAGCATTTTTTTTTTTTTGTTCCTTAAAAACTCACAGCAAGTTGCATTGGTGAGGACAACAACTTGGACAGTTGAGATGTCAGATGAACCGATACACTCCAGCAACACTTAGAGATACTCATTTGTCTGCCTTTTTTGCTTCCACCACACACACAGATGCTGTTGGGTCTTTCATATTCCTTTTTCTTTACTTCCACCTGCCTGGATACTTCATATGTGCTGCTGGAGAGCTGCGCACAGCCAACGACCGCTGAAAGACGCTCTTGAAGTCAGAAAGATGTTTCCTGGAGTAGCCTCCATGCTTTATTCACCTTGGCAAGACACTCGCCCTGCTTGTGGCTGCTAGTGATGGGGAGCTGGTGACTATCTGCACTGCATTGCCCTTCCAGGCTTGCTGCCTGAGAAGAAATGAGCAGTGCTGGTGCAGCATGACCTTAGCCTGACTCAAACCCACTGGACAGCTGAAGAAGTGGAGGAGTGGAGTTTCCATCCCAGAAATGTGCTGGATGCGGAGACACGGTGCCCACTCCTTTGTGTTTGAACTACAGGTTCTAATGTCAGTGCATTAATTCTTCTATGGACAGAGAAACCACTGCAAGGAGCTGGGACTAACTGTTGGAATTGCTTTTACACTGGAAAAACAGTGACTGTGAAGCAGTGTTAACATCTGCTCTGTTAGACCATCCCAATAAATTTGAGCCCTTCTTCCACACATCACCTGCTTGAATATGTATAGATCAGATCAGCAGAGATGAAAAAATTTCTCCTGTTTAAAGGCTGTTTTGGTGTCTCTTACGCAAGCCCATTTTGATGGTCACCAGTCAAAAAATGTTTCACCATGACTTGGTCCACATCCATTACCTGGCACAATGGACCTTGTCTCTGACAGCAAGCACTTAAAGCAAGGGTGAAAATAACATTTACTCCTGACAAAACTGAGTTGTCAATGAGCATTGCACACGTTGGACACAGCCAAGAGTGAAAAATTGAAGCCAGAATAAAAACACATTCTCCCCCAGCCCAAACACCAAGTCAGCTCTGCAAAGCCCTAAGATGACTTCTGATTTATGGGCTTCAGGGACTGATGTTAGTGAACAGGTTTTTAATTGCCAAGCTTTGCTCTCTTCAGGAACACCAACCACTTGATCTATTCAGCTGCACATGGAGGATGGAGGAAGCAGTTCCAGTTTGATGCTCTTAGCAGAGCAACATGAAGCTTCGGAGACACACAAGTTACAGCAGTAACAGAGCTGGAAAATTTCCACTGGGAGGGAAAACAGAGGACTCCTTCAATGCAGGTTTTCATGGAAAGGTATGAAATAGTGCATGAGACCAAAAGTGTTTCTGATTTGACTCAAGCTGTGTTTGACAAGCTGCTGCCAAAGCTCTGAACACAATGCATGCTTACCAGAAGAACATGCAAGCCTAGTGACAAACCTGAGGGCTGTGTGGCTCATCCCCCTGCTGAGGCAGACCTTCCTACTGCATCATCTCATCTGAAAAGATTCCAAAACAGGCTCTCCTCCTTGAAGACTCATTATCATCTGGTCTCTATCTCCTTCAGCCAGGAGAGTCTTCTTCACGTAAAACCACATTTAAATTCTCCCATAATCACAAGTGACACTCCTTAAAACAATGATGATATATTTGTTTCTCCTAGAGGGCTTCTCTTTCTTCTAACATCTGTAGGGTTAAAGGATCCACTCCAGTCCTGAGATGCTGCTACCTGTCAAGCTAAGTAAGACCAGCCAAGCACTTAGGCTTATTAAAAAACATCTTTCAGAGATGCCTCTGACTAAAAATTGACCACTGGACACAAAAAAAGGAGATCCAAATGCCACCACACCGCATCCAAAGCTCCTGCCTAGTTTTAGCACGCAGCACACATGCAGAGGTCAGAGATGTGCTGCAGCAGCATTCAGGCTTAAGGAGGGAGAGGGTGGAGAAGAAAGCTAAGTGGGACCTTGAAAGCAGCAGCTGGCTGCTGTCGGGCTGAGCCAGCAGTGGCAAGGAACCATGCAAACAGCAGAAAAGGGACTGGATGTTCCTAAAATCATGGGGATCATTACATGCAGGGTTGGGGAGAAAGATCTAGGGGACAAAGAAATGGACACTTAACAGCCCACTAGCTCAGGACACCCCAGCTGCCAGCATTGCTGCTCCAACAAGTGCAAAGACATCCATGGCAGACCTTTCCTTCCTCCCCCTCCAGAGAGGATCAAGCCCAAGGCAGGAGAGGCAACGCAAAGGTGACTCCCAGCATAGGCTTCATCTGCTCCATGCTGCAGAGGGGCTTCCCAGACAAATAGTACTGCTTTACCTTTGTGTGGTCTTCCCGGGCTTAAAAAAAATAATAATTTGATGACATTTTGGCAAGAACTGAACCAGAGTAGAAGTGTTCTGCAATGTGCTGAGTTGTCCCTCACTCCCTACATCAGAGCAGGGTGCTCCTCTCTGCTGTCTGGGTGGTACCGGGCCATTCACATTTTTGGAAGTCTCCCTGGATATTAGCCTTCATTAACAGGCATGTCAAGCATCAGAGGAGAGAAACACTGCTCGTGCAATGCACTGGATTCTGACAGTGAAGTCTTATGTCTCCTCATGCCTGTGGTCAGAATTACAGCAGCTTAAGCAGGCTTGGCTGGTCAAAAGCAAGAGCAAAACATAATTTATGGAGATGAACCCACTGAATTTTACAGTCCAATTTTCCTTCTCTGATGTCTCCTTCACACTAGAGCGTGGCACAATGACTGCAATGATTTAGTGTAGGAACTAAGATAAATCCAAGACGATTTCCCCCAAAGCCTTGTGGGTGGACCAAAGGGTTTTCATTCCAGTCGAGCAGTAAGTGCCAGCCCCTTCAGAAAACATGTCACCAAGGGCCAGGCAAGCCCTTCTCCCAGTAAACCTCCCAGGGAAGGAGACGGGGCACACCTGAAGATGCTAAATCTGTCTCCTTAAATGCATATGCTCCAAGCTGGTAACTCATGTAATCTTCCTGAGAAGATTGGAAAGGTCCTAAAACATCTCCCCATGGAAAAAGCAGCAGCACTGCCTGCTCCTTTTGGAGAACATCAACTCCTCCATTTGCGACTGCTTTTGGTGTCCCCCTGCATCACCCTAAACATCTGTTTTTCAAACTGATACCAGTGTCTAGATGAATTGGCAGGCTGGCTGAGGTCACAGGATCAGCAGATGATGCCAGTGAAGACCGTCCAAGTACAGAGCTAATCTGCAACCCTAGGGCTTGGCAAAAGGCAGATGGACACTGCTGTGACAATCTCGATTTCCCCAGCAGTCACGTGGGAATAAATTTAAATCTTTACATTTTTACAACCAAAAGGTCATACAAGCTATATCCAAGGCTTTACCATCTGTTGTCACTGGATTTAATAAAAAAACAATACTACAAATTGCTTTTCCACTGATGAAGGAACATGCAAAACGAACAAAACTAGACTGCTCAGCCACAGGAGGACAACTTCATGAACCCAATATCAGGCAGGCACTGTTCAAACTTCTGCATCTGTGACCTCAATTTTCCATTTGAGATTCTGCTGTGGCAAACTTCAGTTTATTTAGAAAGGATTGTGTTCCTCACTCCCTTCCCATCTTCTCTTTCCTTCAACACTTCTATCCACAGATCTGCTAGTGTGACTATACAGTCCCACCTCTGCTGTGCTACTTGGGTATCTGCAGACCACAGGCTGAAAACCAGAAAGCCAAACTAAAATGATAACTGATTGGCCCTACCAACTTGTGGAAGTTCACTCACCACATTTAGTATGTTCAGTTTTCACGTTGTCCACTTTTAATGCAAACACAAATCCAATACCACTTTCAGCTTGGTTTCCTTTCCTTTTCAGGCAAATTAGGGACTCCGTGATGCTGCCCACAGAGCTATTATTTTCCAACTGTTAGCCATTTAAAACCATTGGCCAATTTTGACCAAATTTGACCAAGGCAGAGACCTCAAATACTGGTATTTTGGCTAAGCAGAGCTCAGCTCCCATTGCTCTGAGAAGTTTCAGTCTATGACCAGCCTGGTAGCATCAAACCAGTAAAACTGGTAGGAGTGTGGGAGGGTGCTGTACTCCCTGTGTCGCAGGGAGCGGGTAAGAAATGAGATGTTCTGGGGGATGTCCAAACAGAGGGAGGGAGCTGGGGCAGACACTGGGGCAGGGGTGTGTAGGGGACACAGGACGCAAGTCCATAGGAATCCAGCTTCACTGGTTCTGCTATGCAAGGAGCAAGTTTGCTCATAAGCATAATTTGACCTTCCCTTCATAAGCAAGAGTTTTTCTCAGACCTGAGAAACTTTCTTTTATAAGATGGAGAGATATTTTTTTATCAAGGCCTGTAGGGACAAGACAAGGGGCAACATTTTTAAACTGAGAGAGGGTAGGTTTAGGTTGGGACATTAGGAAGAAATTCTTCACTGAGGGTGGTGAGACACTGGAATAGGTTGCCCACAGAAGTTGGGGATGCCCCATCCTTGGAAGTGTTCAAGGCCAGGTTGGACGGGGCTTTGAGCAACTTGATCTAGTGAAAGATGTCCCTGCCCATGGGAGGTTGGACTAGATCTTTGAAGATCCCTTCCAACTCAAAGTATTCTGTGGTTCTACGATGGAAAGAGATTCTCTCTCCAACCAACAGACACCCCTGAACCTCACACTGTACCAACCCCATCCTTCAGCTAACCCAGGACTGACATAAACACAAGTCGGCATCGTGAAGGCTGCCGGGCAGAGCCCTGCCCACTGTTACTCACCAGCTGGATGGCTATCATTAATACCGTCTTCAAAGTGAACGTTCTATCACAGAGGTCAAATAAATCTTCCAAGCTAGGACCAAGCAGCTCTAGTACCATGGCATTGTACTTTCCACATGGTCCGAAGTAATACACCTGGGGAAGCCCTTCAGCTGGAAGAATATGAAAAGAATTGAAATCAGTCAACAGGACAATGTTAATACCCCTTCTCCTATGTGTAAATCCTTTGCTGGGCAGAGCCCTTATTTTTACCTCTTGAGTGTCCTTTCTGTTTGATCTTGCCCAACAAACAAATAAGTTTCAGCACGCACTGTGAATGAACCGAAGGCCAAATCAGTGCAAGCTTTGCTCAGCTACACCCTTGAATACACAAATGGATTTCAAAGCAATAACACGACCACATGAAAGCTTCTAGCTTTGGCAGCTTAAACGCTTGGACTTATGGAACAAGACACGGAGTTCCCTATGTTGCACTAAACACCAGGCAAAATACAGCCCCAAACGTGGGCTGGCACTCGTCTGAGCAGTTAGGAAGATGATAGCCCTTGCAGAAAATAAGGCATGTCCAAAAAAGGGCTGCTTTTTCAACCAAGATAATATATAGCCGCAGTTTTTTAGCACAACCTTACACAAAGTTTACTCTTATTATACTCTTGAGAAAGGAAAAAAGAAAAGTTTTCCTTTAAAAAAGAGCAAAGATTTAAATTTTGACCCATCACCATGTAAAAATAAGCAATCGTAGTCATTAAGCATATGTGCAAAGCATTTTGCTGTAGTCGCACACAAAACTCTCGACACCCAACTGGTAGGAGCCAGAGCCTACCCTTCCCACCTAACAGCTCAGCAACAGATTTCTCAGCAAGAGTACGCAATATTTATACTCAGCTGACAGTGGCTTTTTGCATGGATTAGCTTTCTGAAAGGCACCACAAGAAAAGGGAAAAACCAGCCTCGGTGCCTGAACACTCACTGAGCTGCACAGCACTCCTTGAATTACCTTTTAGTCAAAAAGAAAAATCAGACCAGCCCATACAGGGAGGAATTCAGTGCAGGGCTAACTGCAAATTTTTCTGATCAGCATCTAGCACAGGCACTTGGCGTCCCGACATCAGTATCAAGCTGTGTAACACTTCTTTTAAAAAATATATTTCCAGTCTGTATCTCATAAGCAGTTCCAAAACACAATGGAAGGGTTTTTGTTTTGAAATATGGGATTTTGTCCTATGTCAAAACAACATCTTTGCTTGAATACATAAAGATATGACGTCCTGCTATTCAGTGTAAAGGCTCAGCAAGGGGAGCACTACTATGTACACAGCTTTTTTTCACAAAGTTGCACAGAGGTGCGTAAATTATATAGCATAGGACCTGAAAGCATAGTGATTACAAATTTTACAGCACGTTTTAAGTAAATGCACACACACATCTATATTTACATATGAGATCAATATTAAAAATAGCAAAAAACTTCACTAATTCTCAGATACCAGAATTAAATTGCTTGTGTAACTGCACGGTTTTGTATCTGCTCCGTGGTGTGCTCAGGCAGCCTAGCCTAGCACAGCTTAAGGCAGTAGAACAGGGAAACACTAAGGCTGGAGTGTGTCAGCAACATAATAACTTTATGTCCTACTACAGATTTAGGAAAGCCTCGTTAATCTGCCCAACGGCACTCATCAACTTGCCAACAGTACAATAAATGCGGCGCTGATATTACTAAAGCTTAAATATTACAGAACTCATGCTCCCATGTATTACTCAAAAAGAACAAAATGCAGCCTGACAAAGATTACCGTAGGATAGTTTTAATCTTGTTAACTCACATGCTTGGGGAATCATATTAGGTATCAGTCATCAGGATGCATTAATGAGATATTACAGAGTATTGCAGGAATTCCCAGTCTAACTGGAGTTTTACGTCCTATGTAAAAGATTTACCTAACCTGGTCTTGGGAGGCTACTGCTCCTAACAGAGCTTCATGTTTTAGGAAGCATTAACAGCAATTAAGTCCTCTAAGAAAACAGGACGGTTTGATGCAGAAGCAATTCAGAAAGCCAAACAATGATGGGATGTGATCCAGGCAGCTCCAAAACATTTTCAAATACCCCCAAATCAACATAAATGATAATTTAATGCCATCAGCTTAGTGCTGAAGGCTTGAATAATTGCAATAGCTCTTGAAGTAACTCATGGTGAGCCACTGAGTTTTCAGTAAAATCTGATGAGGACTTACCTACATAATTACATCTAATACCAAGATCTACTTTTTAGAGAGTAATAGAAAAATAATAGAGAATAATAGTGGAGAATAACAGAATATTCTATAAAAAGTTTAAAACTGAAACCATTATAAATTCAAGATATAAATACAGTGAGTACTTCTACCACAATTTCTACATCAGAATAACAGTCTTGAAAAGTGCAAATCAGAAAGGAAACCACTTGGATTAGGAGTGTGCTAATTAAGGTATACAGGAGAAGAAAATTGCAGAAAGGCTCTTAAGGAAGGCGAAGAATCCTGTTCCCAGAGCAAGGGGAAAGGAGTACATTTACAGCCTTACTTGGTAAAGAAAGAGCATTGCAATTAAAATTAAATTCCTACTGGGCATAAGAACCAGGAAGATAAATTGCAGTAAGACTCAAAAGATGGGGATTTCATGTAGGGAAGGAAGCAACGCAACTATTTAGTGCTCTCTGGGGTCCCAACTCCTTCAGTTAGCTTTACCTACTCAAAGCCTTACAAGTCAAGAGCTTGGAGTACCCTTCTCAGCTTTAAACCTCAGGAAGGCTCTGCTCTTGGTGGGAGCTCCTACAAGGTGAAGCTGTAGCGAAGAACATTAAAAAAAAACATCCTAAGTGCCAGCCTACAGAAGACATTATTAGTTTCAGGCATATTTTTAGGGTTCGATTTTTCTCTGAGGGTTTTCAGCAGCAATGCTGCCAGCTCTGCAGTCAACAACTTACCTACTGGCTTTGCTAGAATAAAAATGCTGTAGTATATATCTCATTTTCAGACCCAGGCTGCATGGCTCACGTATCCTGGACCCAAAGGGGCATTGCCTGACAAGCCCTGCAGAGCCTCCCAGCCCAAACCAGGGCTCCTCAGCTCCACACTCGTTACTGAAATGAAGTTACAAGGGACACAGGGTAATGCACCCCCAGATCAGCTCACTCAAACGCAAGTCAACACTTAGCATCTTTTTATGAAGGAACAAAGCTCAAAAGAGAAGCTGTAAGCTTGATGTAAATATTAAAGGGTGCCTGTTGCCTGCAGGATCCAAGCAGGCAGATGAGGCTAGATGATTTCAGGATGGCTCTCTGCAAGCTTGAGATACAGGCATCTCTGGACCCATTCTCCTTATGAACAGTAAAAAGGGGCAGCCTGAGAAAATCTGCATAAAATTTTATTTAATCACAGCCCATCTGCATAATTTGTGATGTAGCTTGGCTCTATTTCAGCAACAAGCAATGTGTCCTGGTGCCACAGAGTCCATTGCCATGGTGAACCACAGGAACTCCACAAATATCACGAGCAGATCTGTAAATACTTAAGAAGGACATTGCCAACAAAAGAGATTGATTGAGGAAAAAGTATCTTTTGTCTGGGCAGTCGAACTTGAGGTTTTTAATGGCAAGCAATTGTGTCGGCAGAGGACTGAAAAGGTCAAAGCAAGCCACGGTGTTGTGAAGCAGTCTGTCCTAGATGTGCAGTTCTGGATTCAAAGAGTGCAGGATGAAAAGCCACAGGCAGAGCAGAGGTCTCATCTTGAGGATTCAAAGGTACAACTCAACACTTGAAATACAAACCATGATCAGTTTAATGTAATTAATGTACCAAATCACATCTAAACAAGGAATTGCTCTGTGGCATTAAAGAACAACAACACATCAAGGGAAGAAAATTCAAGCACAACACGTTCAAGTTCTCCTTTGGAGAAAAAGCAGCCTGTTACAGTGGAGGCTGCTGCAAGCAGAAATCGTCCAAATTTGCTTAACAGCTTTGGTCTTGCTGCTGAGTGATTTGGCTTGTAAAAGGCCCCACTCCACCCTTGCTCTTGTGGAAAGTTTATCACCCCAATAAACACAGACTGATCACTGCACTGGAATCCACAGGCAAATTCTGCTATTTCAGCAGTGCGATGTCTTGGAAAAAATTCAAGCTGAGCACAGCAAAAACCTAGCATAGCATTTCGGAGATTAAAGCATCGTGGCTGGAATGAGAGCAAATGCAGACATCAAAGCCGAAAACTCAAGACTTTGCTTCCACCACGCTCCCGAGCAGCCACACAACTCCGGCCTTGGGTTTCCCAAGATGCTAGAACTCTCACTGCTCCTGTGGGCTGCCACCAAAAGGGACCATCCCATCCTCACTCCACCCTCACCCATCCCACCACCTCCCCGTGCTCATGTCGCTGAGCAGTATGTCGGATCAACCCAAAAAAAAGCTTGGTGTTCACTTGAGCTTGAATGCAAGAATGGGAACAGTAACAAACAGCAGGACCACTGCTCTTCGAGAGATCTTCATTTGAGCTGAATTAACACCAGGGAACTACATCTTTCAGCAAATTTCCATTGCAAGATCAAGCATCCTGGCTGATTCAAGCAGTGCTGTCTTGCTGCCACATGCTTTACAGCATGACTAACGGCCCTAATAACTCATCAGACACCCAGCATACTCCAATAAGCCACGTTAGTCCAGGCATCAGACGTACAAGTCATACAGACAGTCCAAAGCCATTTCCAGGACTGGTTATGAAATGGTGGCTGGCAGAGAGATGCCAATCAAAGGTTATGCCCAAGGGAAATCTGATTTTGCAGCATCTGCCCCACGTGGAAGGCACGGAAAACGGAAACCATCTGCTGCAGCAGAGAATACGTACTGATGCTCTGTATATGGGCATCATGAGAGGCTATGAATAAATCTCATGCAACAGTGAGCAGCCCACAGTACACCCAAGAAGAGATGAGGTATCCAGTGCAGGAAGCTACATGTGGCACCTACATCAGTGGAGGCACAAAAGCCAAGTCCCTGTATCTCAAATTGCCAAGACACAACCACAACTTGTGAAAAGTGAACAATACTGGTAGCTTCTGAATCGCCAATTATTTTGGCTCCTATGGGAAATTGGTTTCCACTGCCCTTAGGTGTGG